GTAGGGATGTCAATCCAACCCGTAACCATGGGTACCCTACCCGACCGTAACCGGTCAACGAGGGTAATTACCCGCTTTGACGGGTTAAGGGGCGGGTACGGGTAATACCCGGTTTCAAAATAAAGGGTAGGGTACGGGTATGGTAATCGATAATACCCGCCCCGCTAACCAAATGATCAATTTCCCTTGAGAAATTTATTTTAGCTTGAGAAATTGAGTCTAGCTACCATTATTGATGATGAATATGTAGACGATTATTATGTTTGTGTGGATTGTAGAAGCAAGAACAATTATTATGTGTTTGCTGTTTTTATTTGTGTGGATTGTTGAAGCTAGAACAGTTACAAGTATTGAGAATTTTTAAAGGACAACAGTATATATGTGCATATATGTGTATAAGTTCATAGTTTAGGATTCGTACCCATGGTTACCCGAATACCCGTGGTTACCCGGTGGGTAGGGTATGGTTATATAATTTTCATACCCGGTGGTTATTTGGTCGGGTATTTTAGAAAACTCTACCCGGCTGGTTAGTAGTTGGTATAGGATAAACCCGCACCCGACCCTACCCATTGCCATCCCTACAGTGAAGTACTAAACCCACACCAAAGACTAGTGGCGGATCTAAGGGAAGGCTTCCCCTACTCACAACTCAACCCTCCTTTGTGTCCAGAGCTAATATTACACTTATAAGTTCTTCGATTCTAGATATTCGATCCAATACTAGTAAGGTCACAACTCAATCCTCTTCGCCTTTTTTCAAATACGGTCCACTACTCAACTATCTCCTCTATTCTGCCCAACAAATATAAAATACTATGAGACGTGAGCTAGGGCTGGATTTTGGTCGGTTTCAATTTTACTGAAAATTGAAACGTCAGTTATCGGTGAGCCGACAACATGCAAAACCTATCAACCACCGACCAAATCATGCTTTAGGTTAACTAGAAAACCGACCAGTCATTTTCGATTTTAGACACGATTAGTCACGTGATAGAAATTAATGGTGGTGTCAGTTTAATCCTACTTTTCCTTTTTTCTTTAATAAAGATTCTACTTTCCCTATAATCATTATTACTTCCCCTACCTTCTGTCCCAAATTTCCCCCAAAATTGAAAATCCAAATCAATTTCTTTCCTTCTTTTCATTCTTATGCACCCAACCTTCTCTCCCTATAATAATTACTACTTTCCCCTACCTTCTGTCCCAAACATCCCCAAAATTGAAAATTCTAATCAATTTTTTTCCTTCTTTTCATTCTTCAGCACCCAACATTTTCTCTCCTTTAATTCTCGGTTCAGCTCCCGAAAAAAGAAAACGAGAAAGAGAAAAAGGGAAAGAATGGGTGCATAGATCAGAGACGGAGGCACAGACGATGAGGAATCGAAGAGCAGAGGGACGGAGGCGAAGGGTGAAGGGTTCTAGGTTGTGTTCAATTTGGGTGCGCTTCTGTCAGGGAAGAGGAAGGACGGCGACAACGACTCCCAAAGATGAAGGGGGTCGCGGTGACCGCCGGAGGAGCAGCGTCTCGTCGCGGGTGGAGGTGGGGGTCAGCAAGGCGAGGGGAGATGGTGGGAGACTGGAAACAGGGGAAGGTCAAAGGGTATGGAGGGTGGAGGCATCCAGGCGGGGGTGAGAGGTCGATGACGAACAGAAGGAGGAGGATAGGGTTGGTGGGGAACGAGGTCGTATTGGTAGGGAACAATGTCATGTGGAGATTGGTGTGAACGGCGGTCGGTTAGCTTCGGTTAGTCGGCTAACCGAAGCGAGGGATGGGATGTGATGCTAACCATAGAATAAGTTAGCACCGTAATAAACCCTCTCATCTCCTTCCCTTTATATTTCCCTCAATCGAACGGTGGTTTTACTGGAAGGGCATTTTTGGTAAGGATGCACACCATTCTAGCCGGCTTAGGATATGGTCAGTAACCAATGGTTACTAACCTATGAGTAACTAAATCTGGACCTTTAGATTTAAGTGGGTCCAGAAAATTCAGATCTAAGGGTTGTCAATTAAAGGCATTTTATTTTCCCTATTTTTCTTAATCAGTTCTTATCTTTTTCGTTCTAACTTGGATTTCAATTTTTTTTGCACAGATGGAACGAGTTCGTTGTGCTCTACAAAATGAGATCAATTTTCAATATATTTCGAGAAACTTTTTTTACCAACTACATACCATATGGTAACTTCTTCGTTTTTAAGTCGTTTTTTAAAACATTTGCTCAGAAAGAACGAGTTCATCATGATCTATTGGATCTATAAATTTCTGGGTGAAATAATGGATAAAAAATTTCCATACTTTACCACTATGGCATGTGGGTGGTAACTTGTGGTAACTTGTAGTAAACAATGATGAAAGTCGTAAATGACAGTTAATATACTCCTACTATCATGTATTCAACCTTCTTACCATAATGGTGTGTTCATAACATCATGGTACACCTTCTTACCATATGGTATTAAATTGGAGCATACCATATGGTAATGACTGGTAAAAAATTATTCAATTTTTTTTGTACTAAAAATATAACAATGTGGATATAAATTTAAAGAGCACATTTAATATGATTTATCTGTACAAAAAATTAAATTTCGACTTAAAATGAGAGAGAAATCGTCCGGTAAAGATTAAAGGAGAAAAGATAAAAGATTTTCGATGAGAGAAAATACTGATGTCATGATGATGTGGACATGTTACTCATGGTTACTAACTTGATCCGCTCCCATCCTAGCCTAGGGTGTGAGATTTTTTTGGGAGAATTTCAACCGTCTCCTTCCCATTCTCCCTCTCTTTTTCCTTCTATTTTGCCTCTCTCTCCCTCTCCCTCTCTCTCACTATCAGAGCAATCCACCAGAGCAGAATACGACCTTGTCGTCGCCGCCGTTTTTGTCCTTGCCGTCTCCGCCCTCATCGTCTTCGTAGCCATCGCTTGCGTCGCAATGGTCTACAACGGCTTCCCCTGTGTCGTCGTATGCATCGGATTCGCCTTCCCCGCTGTTAGGGTACAATCCAAGTACCACATCGGGAATACAAGGGAAGGAACCCTTGTATATAAGTGTCCACCTAGCCCAATTAGTACGAGGCCTTTTGGGGAGGACACCCAAGAGTAAAACCGTGCGGGCTTGGCCCAAAGCGGACAATATCGTACTAATTGAGCAGCCTGGTGTTATGACAAGTGGTATCAGAGCCTCGTTCGGATCCAGGGCGGTGGACGTCAGTTTGGTGGACCCTCATTCGGTGACCTCGGGGTTTGAGATCTGCGTTTGTCTGGCGAGTCAAAGGTGATTCGCGTCTGTTTGGTGGATCCAGGAGAGATCCACGTTTGGGCTTGGCGGATCAAAGAGAGTTCCGCATTTGGGAAGCAGATCAAATAGAGTTCTGAGTCTGAGAAAATCCTTGTACCGAGAATCGCTGATCAAGATAATCGCTGAGGTGAGGACACGATGTTCGTGGTTCTTGTCTTGAGGGGAAGATTGTTAGGGTACAATCCAAGTACCACATCGGGAATACAAGGGAAGGAACCCTTGTATATAAGTGTCCACCTAGCCCAATTAGTACGAGGCCTTTTGGGGAGGACACCCAAGAGTAAAACCGTGCGAGCTTGGCCCAAAGCGGACAATATCGTACTAATTGAGCACCCTGGTGTTATGACACCCGCCTTTGACTTCGCCGCCCTCTTTCATGTCGCTGTCGTGTGCATCGGCATGCTATGCGCCTCTCTTGACTATTGTTTGGAGCCTTCGGGTGGTTGAAGTTCTTTCACGAGTAGTAGTTTAGTTTCAGTTGCAACCATATATGATATTGTTTCTTCAAATTAGCATCTTCCCCCCTATTAGTAGTGTTCTTTGATATTGACTTGTTAGTAATTCTCGAGATTTAGCATTGTTGAAGAGTAGTAGTTGTATGCATAGCGACCTTCTTTGTGTAGTGTTTTTACTCTATATAATAGATGTGTGTAGCAATAACGAATTCGAGTTTCTTTTGTTTTGTTTCGTCATGAATTCTTGGCATTTTTCTCTTCTAAATTCACTACTAGGTACCACCGCAAAATGCTACTACGATCATTATCTACAACTACTATCATGGAACAATACTTGTCCTTGGAAATACTACTATTGTCTCTCAAATTGCTACTACAACCAACTAACTGGATATAAAATGGCTACGACATCAACAACAATGAGTCAATGACTATCATAGTAGCAATGATTCCATTGTAGTGATTTAATAACAATGACTATCATAGTGGCAATGATTCCACTGTAGTGATTTAATAATAGTGATTATTTTGAATATGGTTGTAGTAGCAATAATTTTATAGTAGTGATTTTATGGATCATGCATTTATGGATATGTTTTAGCCGTGTTTCTGATTATATATTAGTAGTGATTCATGATTATTGACAATAATAATCTTTATAATCATACTGATTCTAATAAGTTATTGTTGAAATCACTACTAATAGAAAATCATAAAATCAATAGTTTACACCAAATTAATACTTACAAACCTGGAAAAAAAGAGGGAGCAATGTTTTTTTTCCAGTGTGTAGTGTTTTAGTGTGTACGAAGAGACACAGAGACGTGATGGAGAGGAGGGAGAAAGAGAGATGTGGAGGGAGAGAGATACTTTGAAGGAGAATTTGTAACTGCACCCTAACAATCAGCCCACGTAAACAAAAAATAAAAATTATTTCTAAAAATTATATCTTCTATTACTAATCTACCCTTTCTCTATTTGCAGCCGTTAGATTTGAAATAGGGTTGAACGGTTTAGATAATAATTAGCATGATGCTAACTTTTCCCACTGAATCGACCGTTCTCTTTGCCGAACCCCGACGGAGATTGCTAGCCGTCGATTTTCAGTTAACTGCTAACCGGCGATTATCAATTAAACTGATCGATTAGCCGTTAACTAACGGTTATCAGTTAAACCAATTGATTAGCAGCTAACTGAAAACCAATCGGCCACACCCAGTGACACTCACAACTCACAAGTGAGTACTCCACTCCAAAACTTCCCCTAATTTTCAATTCACTACAAGACAAAAGAGGAAACCACTTCCCCATTCAGCGTCGTCACCAACCCCACTGACACTGCCACCGCCACCAACCGAGGTAACCTTCTCTCTTACGCCCCACGTACCACCAATACCACCACCACTCCAGCTCTTCAACCAAGCTTCTAGCTAGACTACGAGAGAGAGGGGGAGAGAGAGAGAGAGAGAGGGAGAGAATACAGAGCGGCAATGGCGGCGATTGCTCTTCGCAGGCTCTCCTCCACTCTCAAATCTCCAATTAAACCTTACTTCAATGGCGGCTCCCTCTATTCAATGGTTCGTTGCTTCCGCGTTTCTTCTTCCGGATTCGTTTTCTTTTCCCGGTTCTGAAACTCGCTTGTCATCTGGTTTTGTAGTCTTCCTTGCCTAATCCTGCAGTTTCCGACAAAGACTCCGCTCGCGCCGCCGTAAGCCTCTGTTTCCTTTCTACCCGTTCTTTTTTTCCATGTTTCTCTCTGTGGAATCGTTTGAACGTTGAGATCCGCTGTTGCCACGGTGGAGGCAATAGTTGAGCAAGCAATCGCGTTATTGTTTCCTGATCGTCTTTTCCTTCTTCTGGTTCGCTTCACCGTTGATCTGCCGGTCTCAGTGGATAAAGCAATTGAATGCACCGCTCGAGGAAATCGATCCCGAAGTAGCTGACATTATTGAGCTCGAGAAGGCTAGGCAATGGAAGGTACCACCACATTCAATTGCCTGAACAAAATTATGCACCAACATTAATCTCTGTTACTGTTGCAACCAGAGTAGTTAAAATCCCGATTTAAATCCTAAAATCCTACGGTTTTACGATTTTACTTACCTATTCCGATTCTGATTTCACTATAAAATCTATGGACCTTAAAATCCTACACTATTCACGATTTAAATCCTTAAAATTTTTAAAATCTTACGATTTTACGATTCAAATCTTAGAGTCAATTTTACATATTTCCCCCAGAATTTGCAAAATTACGCCTCTTTTTCTTCTCCTTCACCAACATCATCTAGTTCTCTCACACTAATCACCATTGATTATAATCGATTCACATCAACGTATTAATCATCATCAATTCACCACCTCTTAACATTAAGCTTAAAAAATTATCATTGTAAGTGTTATGTGCTTTTGTGTTATTCATGATTTTCCTTACTAATATTATTTCGTCTTCATTTTTATATGGACCTTAAAATCCTACGATTTTACGATTCGATTTTACGATTCCGATTTTACCCCCATTTTCGATTTTACATAAAATCCCGATTTTGACTGCTTTGGTTGCAACAAATCTTCGATTGCCTGCCTGGCTGTTCGAAGGCGATTAGGTATTGACATGGGGCATTTGAATTTTGAACTTGCTTTTCAGGGACTTGAACTTATACCATCAGAAAATTTCACATCAGTTTCTGTGATGCAAGCTGTTGGTTCCGTTATGACCAATAAATACAGTGAGGGTTACCCTGGAGCAAGATACTATGGTGGAAACGAGTACGTGCACTTGATATGGCTCAAGAGCTTATGAGCTTTCATTCCAAATTGTCATATGCCATCTACGATTTCTGGCTGAAAGTTTTTTTTTTTTTAATTTCCCCCGGTATTTTTCTTGATTAGGTACATTGATATGGCCGAGAGCTTATGTCAGAAGCGTGCTTTAGAAGCCTTTGACCTGAATCCTGAAAAATGGGGAGGTTAGTGAATGCTTCATTCTGATGATGGAAACTGCCACTGGATTTAACTTCTTGTAACTCATTCTGCCAAATCTAGCATCCTTCAGGATTATCATAGTGCTCTTTCCCCATGGATGAACCTGGAAACCTGTTTAAATTTCCGAGACTTGATTAATGTGTTGCCATAGGGCGAGCTTGGCAAGTGGTATTTGGCTCCTGTATGATTCATGCTGACACACTTCATTTTCTTAGAATGCTGAAATTGATAAGAAGCTTGGTTGGCGTTTCACCAAAAGCTGCAATTATTAAGTGAACTGAGTTGCAGTTTTGCCGCGAATTGGTATGATGGTATAGTCGACTCTGCACAAGATGGCAAAATGTTGAGGCAAGGAAATTTAAACTTAGTGACCATTTCTGGTGGAATAGATTACATTATAAGGCCAGATGAGGAGAGGTGTTATTAATGACGGATAATTAATTAGGTATTGACATTTTCTTGGGTGGTAGTGGGGAATGCTCTATTTCAGATAAGAAGAGAGCTTAATTCACCAACTAAAGAGAAAATCTTCTCCAAATATTCTTCTTGTCTTGGTTGATGTATCTTGATGCATCACTAACTATTATTGTCTATTAGTCACCATTAAATAATGGATCCAGTGCCAAATCATAAAATGGCAACCACTTATGTCGTATCCATATATTCAGCTGTTTCATCTGTATCCTCCTCGCATTATTACACCAGTACAAGTGCCAGTTAGCACGCAATAATTTTTCTGAAGACATCATTTGTTTTTCCCCTAGAGTGTGTGAAGATGGCTTGATACATGTGTCTTATTTGATGCAGTAAATGTGCAGTCTCTATCTGGATCCCCTGCTAACTTTCAAGTTTATACTGCCTTGTTGAAGCCTCATGAAAGAATCATGGCCCTTGATCTGCCTCATGGAGGTCATCTTTCACATGGCTATCAGGTGATTATTGTCTATCAATATTGGTGCTGAGCTGAAACAGATAATTTTTTTTTACTACAAATGCTCTAGAGGTCATGTTGTTGTCCAACTCTATTCAAGACTGATAGACCTCGGAATCTAGGGTGCGAATGATGCGGTGAATTGGGAATTAGGTTAGATCAATTAGGGATTGATATAGGAATTGGGAATTGGAAGAACAGAAACATAGAGAGAAAGAGAGGGTTCGGTCGAAGCCTTTAAAGGAAGAGGGGGGTTCGGCTAGAGAGAGAGGATTAGGGTATTTGATATTCTTATTAAGCTTAACCATAAACCTGGCTTACACCAATACTTATACTAATCGACTATGATTCCCTTTACTCCCCAAAATAATAACCTAACCATTATACTCCCTCCCAATCAATAAACTAACATAGTAATCCGAATAATAATCCGCTAAATAATTATAATAATTCCAAATAACCATAAAATGTGCTCATCAAAGACCCATCTGAATATGAATTTGAAACTAGTACGTGCTTCTAAATATGATAATATGGTTTACTGTCTTCGGGGCATCCTGCAGACTGATACAAAGAAGATATCTGCTGTGTCCATTTTTTTCGAGACCATGCCCTACAGATTAAATGAGAGTACGGGTTATATTGACTATGATCAGGTACTATTTCAATTTTTTTTTTTTTGTGAACACAAGATATCTTTCTGCGTGTCCATTTTGATAATTCTCACCAAACATGCTTTTTCTGGTCATTGTCAAAACATAATCGGTTCTCTAAACTGAGTTTGATTTAAATGTGGTGAAATTTGCAGCTAGAGAAAAGTGCTGCACTATTTCGACCAAAACTCATAGTTGCTGGTGCAAGTGCTTATGCGCGCCTCTATGATTATGCACGCATTCGCAAAGTAAGCTCTCGAATCTTTTGCATACACGTTTCATTAATTGCTTAGTCAGGATATGTACTTCATATCCTTCATTGGATTTTTTCGATAGGTCTGCGACAAGCAAAAAGCTGTTTTGTTGGCTGACATGGCACACATCAGCGGGTTGGTGGCAGGTGGTGTCATTCCATCTCCATTTGAATATGCTGATGTTGTGACCACAACAACACATAAATCGCTTCGTGGTCCTCGTGGGGCTATGATATTCTTCAGGAAAGGGGTGAAAGAAGTTAACAAACAAGGGCAAGAGGTAAGTTGAACTGCCGAAATAACACTGGGAACATAATTCCTTACTTTGTTAAAGCTGTTACTTTGGTTGCTCGTTTCCCCAACTATTAGGACGCATCACCTTACAGTTGAGTTGCTCCTGCAGGTGATGTATGACTATGAAGATAAGATTAACGCAGCTGTCTTTCCTGGACTTCAAGGGGGCCCACACAATCACACAATAACTGGTTTAGCAGTTGCACTGAAGCAAGTAAGGCCACACTCGTACCCCAGCAGACTGTATTTCATATAAAGCCTTGGGGGCTTACTTTCGTAAATGGGGTTGGTTGTAGGTTAAAACCCCTGAATATAGGGACTATCAAGAACAAGTTCTCAGTAATTGTTCAAGGTTCTCGCAGGTACTTGGTCGAGTATGCTTAGCCTTTGTATTTCAGTTGCGCATATGGCCTTGTTTCTAAAGTATGTAGCTACCCAGTATATGACCTTGTTTCTAATTAAAAAATATGCGCAGAGCTTACTACATAAAGGCTATGAATTGGTTTCTGGTGGAACAGAGAACCATTTAGTCTTGGTGAACTTGAAAAACAAGGTACTGGTGAAAGCTTCTCTGTCTTACCCTGTTGGTTTACTTGGCAGAAGTTGTCATTTTTTCATGGTGGGAAGGGAAAATTAATTCTAAAAGCTAACTATTATTACAGGGTATTGACGGATCAAGAGTTGAAAAAGTTTTGGAATCGGTTCACATTGCAGCAAATAAGAACACAGTTCCTGGTGATGTGTCAGCCATGGTTCCTGGTGGTATTCGCATGGGTACGACTTTTCTCCCTTTCCCTGAAAGACAGCTTCTAGAATCTAGAAACACTCTTCATTGGTTTATTCTTTTTCCAGGGACGCCGGCTCTCACGTCCAGGGGGTTCATTGAGGAAGACTTTGAGAAAGTGGCCGAGTTCTTTGATGCAGCGGTGAAGTTAGCGTTGAAGATCAAAGCTGATTCCAAAGGTGGGTCATTTCTTCCTTTTGCCTATTCCGTGTATGCCTTAAATATATGCTGGACTGAAGTGTCGTGGGGGGATTGATTTCAGGACCTAAGTTAAAGGACTTCACCGCAGCTCTAAAGTCAGATGCACAGCAATCGGAGATCGCAAAGCTTCGTCGCGACGTTGAGGAGTATGCAAAGCAGTTTCCCACTGTAGGATTCGAGAAGGAAACCATGAAGTACAGAGATTAAGGAAAGAAAGAGTGACCATAGCATCAACACAAGGCACACCCTCTCCTTCGCTTTGCTCAAGGGATAGATTGACACAAACAAGATGGCACAGGAGGCTTGTTCATATGCTCCACACGAGATCAGTAGTTGATTCCACATTCAACAATAAATCGAATCGTATGGGATTGGGAGACGAGGAACATGATTGTGCTTGCTGACGTTCGCCAGCAAATGTTCGCTAGAATGAGTGCTTTCCCCCCCCCCCCCCCCCCCATTCCCACGAGAAAAGCCGACTTGACTGCTAGGATAAATCAATTGTATTTTCGTTCGGTTGAATGCACTTGTGGATATAGTAGCTTTTGAAAACAATTATGCTACAAACGACACTGTTAAATTGATTAACTTTCCATCACTGAAGAAGCACCAGTAGGTTGTGGAAACGAGATTTTACTATTCTTGTGTGATTTGCAACAACGAGGCCAGCGGAATTTGGCCCTTTACCCAACTCCCATCCTGTCTGCTCCAGAGAATAGCTCTGGTAGCAAAAATACCACATTCAGCACTGCCCATGAATTAAATTTAGTCATGAGAAATATGATCAAGCAGCCAGCTATATAACTAGGCACCAACCTTTCATGCTGCAGAAATTGCAATCATTTCATGGGATTTGAGTACGAAATTAAGTGATTCATCAGTTAACGAATGCTTGAATATGGGAAGGCATCACCCATTCAGAATCCCTTCTCGATTCAATAGAAGCCCCTTAATTGATGTCTTCAGTCCTTCACCCCACCAATGCTTCTCCGTCGATCCCTGCTGCCACTTACAGCTACAGCTACAACCCAGCCACAGGCAGCGCTGCTCATAGTTATTGACTGCATCGAGGCCTGGAGGATTTGAGCTTATACTGCTGCTGTTCTTCACCTTCTTCTTCATCATCATCTGCTTTCCTACATCGCTTCATCACAAAGGAGTCGAGTGTTTCCTGCCTTTTTGTAGGTTTGGGGCTATGCCTGCAACTGGCATTGCCCATCACCAGGTTTTCTGCTGCAACTTCCATCATATCTTCATGTCCATCCAGCATCTGTCCTAAGTTTTCCAACTTGCTTTGCACAACATCCCATATAATGTCATCAACAGTATCACTTGCAAGCAGGTAATATATATTCACAGAAGAAACCTGTCCAATCCTATGAGCACGATCTTCAGCTTGAATCAAGTCCCCTGGAGTCCAAGCCAATTCAGCAAACACAACAGTGCTAGCAGCTGTTAGCGTTAATCCGAAACCCCCTGCTTTGATGGATAGAATTGCAGCCTTAATAGCATCATTTTCCTGGAAATCAGTTACCAGTCCTTGCCTATCAGCGGCCGGGGTTCCACCATCAACTCGGATGCAACCTACTTTCTTCTTCAGCAAAAACTCGTGTATTGAATCAATCATTTGTCGATGGTGAGCAAATATGAGAAACTTGCAGCCTGCCTCAACAAAAGTAGTCAAATAATCAAGGACTGCAGGGACCTTCACTTCAGCAGAAACTGTATATATCTTACTGATAAGATTCTTCTGAGCAAATTTCAATGATGCAACCTCATCTTCTGATGTGCATGACTTAATTTTGCTTTTGATCACTTCCAACTCACGAAACAATGCTTTGATAGTTTTCAGGTCCTTTTCAGCTAACTCTAGGAAGACCTGCTGCCGACGCTTCTGAGGAAGCTCAGAAAGGACATCCCTTTTAAGCCTACGAATCATCACTGTCGTCTTCATCAAGTTGTGCAATTCTTCATGGTTGCTGGCACCTTGATACGCTCCAAAACTCCCACCTTTACAGTAACGGTTACCATATTCATGAACATTCTTGTATACATCAGGATACAAAGCTTCAAGCTGCTTGAACAGCTCTATAGGCCTGGACAATGCAGGAGTTCCACTAAGCAACATTGCATACTGGGCTTTCTTTATAACGGGGAGCGATGCAGTTGTCCTGTTTGCTTTAGCATTTTTCAGGAAGTGTGATTCATCCGCAATTACAACCTTAAATTCAGAAGCCATTAGAACGCTTTGCAACTTTGGCACAACATCGTAAGACACAATATTGAATAAGCCATCAAGACTTGGGGTACCCTTGGCTGAGGATACTAGAGAGAAGCCACCTCTGTTTGACCCACTCCACTGTGACAAAACAACAACTATGTCTGATGAAGGGATATTGAGCCATTGTTGAATCATTGTAGCCCACTGCAATCGCAATGACGAAGGAGAAAGAACTAGAACAGGCCAAGAATCACGAACGCAAGCAGCTGCAGCGATCGCTTGTAAGGTCTTCCCAAGCCCCATTTCATCTGCTAAGAGAACACGCCCACCATGCTGCAATATAAACCTGACACCATCCCGCTGAAAAGGCATAAGCTTTGATTCTATACAGTCAGGCATCCTGTCATACCAATGAAGAAGATCCGTAACCGTGGAAGCAGCAACAATAGCACGCCGCACCAAGGGATCTAATTCTTCAACCTCAACAACAATTAAACCAGACGGGATTTCTCTCATAGCTCTTTCAGCTAACAGCAATGAAGCTGTTGGGAAGATCCACAATCTTTCTTTCGCATTCCAACTGGCTTTAGGCACCTTGCGCACCGCATCAACCAGTACCGTATTATATGGAAATCTAACTGCAATATTTCCACTAGCATGAAGCATGAATTTTACCGAGAGCGTAGGCGGGAGTCCCTTGAAGGTTTCACCAGGAGTAGCGGGGGAGGGTTTACTGTTGACGCAATTTCTTGGTGGGTTTTGACTGGCGGAAGAAAAGGAAGAGGTAGCAGGTGAACTAGCAGACAATTGAAGCCGCCGCTGCTGCTGCTGAGCGATCTTCTGGATAGCATCTCTCTCAAGGGCGTCCAGTTCTTCGGCGCTAAAACCCCATTCATCATTGTCTTCCATTCTGCGATTTTCTTCAGCTGCTGACTTGACTGCTCAAGCGGCCAGTGACCGATCAAGACTGAAGACGGCTTTGATATGCCTTTTGAAATCTGGCCCCCCTCTCCTTTGCGATTCGGGTTCTCGACAAAATTAGGGCTTTGGGAACAGATTTGAGAATTTGGCGGGATTTTGGGATTTGTCTCATTTCTTGCAACTTCACATTTTTTTTCTTCTTTCTTTTAGCATCATGATATTAGTAATTTTGACCTGACCTGTTTTACCTGATCTGTTTGGTCTGTTTTGGGGTGGGACGAAGCGGGCCCATTCTCAACCCGTTCTTACCTAAATTACATGTAATCTTAGTCAAATTACTTATAATTTTCCTCATATTACCTCATATTTTAGCTATAATAAAGTTATAAATAAGTGAAAACCTCAATTTCTCCAATACTTTAACTATATTTTATCATATTATGGTTTATTTCTTGGTCTTTTAATGAAAATAATGAATCTTTTTTCTCATAAATTACATACATATTGGGTCGACCTGCCCCGACCCGTGCCCTATGATAAATAACCCGACCTGAACCCGACCTGCCACGGGGCGGGTATGAGTATCGAGATACCCGGCCCGGACCTGCCCCATTAGTAACACCTTAGGCAAATCTCACATCGATAAAGCATGGGAGAGATCAATGGTTCATAAGTAAGAAACCGACATTAACTGACAAGACGAGTTTTGGGGTGAAATGGAAGAGTTCTTGTCAGAAATCCAAAGTTAAACGTGCTCAGTATGGAGTACAACAAGAATGAGTGACCTTATAGAAAGTAACCTTAAATTGCGCCACAAGTCGAAAACCGTGAGGGTTGAGACTCCCTAAAATTCTTATTCATAATTTTTTTATTCATCCCTATAAATCTCGTTAAAATTATTCAATTATCATTTGTTTATTTTTATTTCTCTTTCAACCCCATAATTCTGAAATAAACACACTCTTTTTTTTCACCCGTTAAAAAAAAACACATTCCAAACCATTATTATATCAAAACACAAAATCCAGTTACACCAAGCAAGAAAAAAACACACACAAAACCCTTTAGTATATGAATTTTGTAGGAGTATGACAACATTAGTAATCCGTAAGGTCCATCAATCCTGGTCTTCGTTGACTCACATAATAGTGAAAGGTGATTTTGAGGTTGTTGTCAATTAGATTCAGCATGTGAGGCTGGCAGCTGGTATGCGTCACCATGTAGTAGTCAACTCCTACCTGACAGAGCTCCTAGCAATAAGAGATGCTATCGCCATCATAGCGTTTAGATCCTTCACTCATGTGATAGTGAAAGGTGATTCCGAGGTGGTCGTAAATCAGATCCGGCAAGGTGTCCTAGAAAATTTCTTTGGAGGTCTGGTGCTCAGGGAGTGTTGTCAGATCCTAGACTCTTTGTAAGTTTGTATAGAGTTTATGGTGGTCCCTAGAGCTGCCAACAGTGCTGCCCATAGAATGGCGCGTAAAGCACTGGTATTGTCTCTCCTAGAGTTAGAGTCTTTCGACTTTATTGGGTGACTTCACTAGGGTGTCGCTTGAAGTTCCTGGGTAGTTTTGTGTATATAATCCTTATCCTCTCTTGATATCACTCGAAAATAAATAAATAAAAATCTCAATCTTCGTTGCCATCATCTACTACTGCTAAGGTAGAAGATAAATTTTACTATGTCATGGCGTGGTCGGTTTTTGAATTTATCCTGGTCATGGTTTTGTCGGATTTTTCAATCTATTTCTGCCAATTTTTAGAGATTAATTTTTATTTTTTTTACATTCTTCCTCCAATTCTCTCTAAAATTTACTCTATTTTTTATAGGCCAGTAAAAAATATTTTTATTATATATAGGATAAAATTCTTGAAGTTGTCTATACAATTGCAACCATCAACAAATAGCAAAGAGTTTGTCATGAGGAAAATATAAATTTAATTTGATAGGTTTAGTTATTGAAATATAATTTTTCAAAGAATCAATGGACATGTTTACAGGTCAGTTAAATTTAGGGCTAATACCACTAGGAAGTCCGAACTATTAAGAATGTGTCATTTGTGTCCCAAACTATTCAATATGACATTTATGTCCCAACCTATGATAGTTGCGTGTCATTTATGTCCTGACAATTTCGTTGACTGTTATAGATGACGGTTGACCAGACAGAAGTCAACTTGAACATTAACTTTTGTTGACGTGGCAGCCACGTAGATGCCGCATCATTGACACCTCAAAATAAATACAAAATAAAATTAAAAAAGGTCCTCTCCACTCCCCAGACCCGCCACCTCTCTTCCCACTCCGTCAACCGGCGATTTCCCTCTCATCACTAGCGCCCACCATCTTCTGTCATCTGGGTAAACCCACGGCGCCGCCAAATACCTCTTTCACCATCTTCCGTCAAACACGATGTATCTTGGCGGGTTTGTATCTAAATTTTTTGATAATGAGCGCCCAAAATGTCACCCGCCCAGAATTTGTCCCAAAATTTTTATGTGGCCGCCCTTTCTTCCATTATATTACTCTTGAAAAAGTTTATTCCACCCTCCCAATTTGATCGCCCTCAATTCTCCTTCTGCGCTTTCCCAATTCCTATTCTTCATTTTCCCTCATCATAATGAAAAATCCCCCTTCTTCCTCACCTTCCAGTTTTTATGAAAACAAATGGAGAACGACATTAGTCTCTTCTGCTACGTCGCCGCCTGCACAAAGCTCTCTCGCTGCCCCCTAGTCATCTTCTCCCGGATCTACAACGAGATATGTCTCCCCCACCATCGACAACTTCACCCTGCCTCCAGACATCTTCATCATCGATAATCTCACAATCGCACTCCTATATTTTGTAGCGAGTCAGGACGATGGTCTAACAAAGATGGCAGAGAGATTGAGAGGCGGCGACGTCTTGGTGGGAGAGGGCGGAGGCTTTCCGGCTTTCTTTTTAAGTGGATGAGCAGGCAATTTTGGGTTTTGGATTGCGATTATTGGTGTTGTGTTTGCGATAAGGAGCAGGGAGAGGGACTGGCCAAACACCCCCTTCACCATCTTCCGTCAACACTTACGATTCTCTCGCTCTCTCTTCTCCGCCCACCATCTTCTGTCATCTGGGTAAGCCATCGGTGGTGAATTACGGCGGTGGAAGCCGGAGAAGCCGTCGATTGTGACATGGGAGACGGAAGAGGGAAGGGGAAATCCCACCGACGATTATTCATTATTCATTTATATGGAAAATAATAAAAAATTAATATTATCAATTCCACTTCAGATGCCACATCAGAGCAGACTAGACTTTATGTTAAAATCTAACGATCAACAACGGTCAACTCTAACGAAAAAAAATAGTTTATGACACAAATGTCATATTGAATAGTTTAGAATACAAATGGCACATTGTTGATAGTTCGGGTTTCCTAGTGATATTAGCCCTTAAAGTTAACAAGAAAAGCATCATATGGGTACTTGAAACCACTTATTCACAAGGGTAAGAAGATATTGATAAACTCTGCTGTTGAGCTATTTCTTAATATGAAGAAAGGGGGTAAGGGTGGTCATGGCCGAGGGAAGAGATGGGGATATTAACTTGGAATACACAAGGTTTTATGCAAATAGTAGGTATACTGCTGAAGAAAATAAACAATCATAGTATTGATTAGTTGATAACACCTAAAATTGGTGTTATTTAGCCCTTATTTCATAGGTGTTTTCATGCAATAATCATCATCTTTGGCCAATTGAGACCGATTTCATGCTATATTTGCTTCTAATTGTCAAATCCTAAGATTTAGCACGTTTCTGCCATTACTTGGCAATTTGGCTTGAATTTGATAGGAATCTTGTTCATTCTCATCCTTTTATAGGATAGGTTGTGTTTTCTTTCTTAATTTCAGGTCCTAGTATGATAAGGAAGAGGCACACCAAGTTTCGTGCCAATCGAAGGTCGTCTGAGGGATGAAAAGTAGGTGGAAAGCAAGACCTGTCAAAGTTCACGGTTGGGTGCACAAGATCACGGCCGAGAAATTCTCCCCATGTCTTCAAACTCCGAGAGGGCGTCCACGATAAGTATAGAAAGTCTAGCAACCCGGCACACGGCCACAACAAGCTAGACCGCGAAAAAAGTTCACGGGCGCATCAAAAAGATCGTGACTGCAAACTTCCCCCAAAAGTTCGTGGTCTCCTTTCAAATTTCACGGCCGCGAACTCTGTACCAATGCTACGAACTTCCCTTTCCCATCAAAGGTTTACAACTTCTTGTCAATGTTCACTACCACGAGAGAGAAACACACAGTATGAGAAGATGTAGAGTGAGAGTGACGAGCTTGGAGAGTTTTTGGGTGATTTCTTCTTCATCCTAACTCCAAAACCTCCCAAAATTCAAGAAGGGTGATCAAAGCAAGAAGGAGAAGATGGATCTAGCCATAGATTTATTATTTTCTTCCCATTTGTAGACTTCTTCTCTCTCCTCTCTCTCTCCCTATGTTTTAGCTTCTCTTGTTGTTTAGGGAGATGAATCCTAGCTAGTAGATTGTTATGAGTCAATATGTAAGAATGATTGTTATTATGAGTCATCTTGCTTATTCTTGACCTAGGAGAGAGGAACACCCTCTTAGGCCAAAGTTAGGACATACATGATAACACCCAAAACAGTGTTATTTAGCCTCCATATTTAAGGTCACTTTGAGTCATATCGTTGTCTCTTTGGTTGATATGTCATCAAACACATCCTAAATTCATTCCTCGAAGAGAATATTGTCATATTAGGGTGTTTTAGATGATATGAACACTTTAGGACGAAAAGGGGGTCACAAGTGTAGGATTATGTGCATAAATGAGAGATCACGACCGTGAAGAGAGAGAGAGAGCCCTAACTAGAGTCACAAGTGTAGGATTTGTTTGCTTAGTGATTATATGATTTATCTATGATTAATTATGCATGGGCTTGTCTCTCCCAATCTTTTCATCTAGCTTACCACTTAGGAGTTTATGAATT